ATGTCCACTGACAAAGTGCTCTACGTGACAGGTTATTCTTACTACATCCACAGCGTTTGGGTTGGCTCAGAATGTATAACCTGTGAACTCAGAGAGAAAGATGACTCCTTACCATCACAACAGTTAAAGCTTGGTCTAGAATGTGTTCAATTTCACTGTGAACAGTATTCCTTATAGAATTTCTTTTAAGATAATGCAAGGGATGACAAGCTCTGTGATAACAGAGGCAAGAAAATGTTTTTCTAACATGTGACTCAGAGATCATGTTTTTAGGCAGAAAAAGCTGCCTTCATAATGTTACTTAGAAGTAAAGTGGAAAACGTAGGGATTATTTTATTTCATTTTTATATATTGGAGTTCTTATGTGAAACCATTTGCTTTCTTAAGTTTTCTAGAGAAGAGTGTTCAGTGAAACTATGTTACAAAGCACTGGCAGAAAAGACAGACTAAAAAAGAGAAGGAAAATATATAGGAAATATTTAAGCATATTGAATAAGAATGGTGTGGTGACAATACATTTGCAAAATGCTTTATGTTCTTTCAGGATAGTATTAGTTGCCCTTTTGGCGTGGAAAATGTCTCCTGCTCTAGAAGGCATGGCTATAAATATATTTAGTGGCAGTTCACTGGATTAATACCTAAATTATTTCACCTTTTACAGACTGTACAAGAACAATGTCACAGAACACTCAAGCACTATTAAAAGTGCTTGATGAAATTCCTGAAGGTTGAAGGACCTGGAAAAGTCCTTTCACTGCTTTTTCCTTATGAATTTCAACCACATCAAAAACATCTGATTTCTCTCTTCCCTTTGGATACAGAATCCCCTCTCCCTCCTCTTTTTTTTTTTTTTTTTTTTTTTGTTACCCCAGATATCCTTACTTAACGTGGAATTTTGTGTTCATTCACTTCCATTCTGTCTCATTTTTCTTATATTTCTCAGTATTCTTTTGGTCCATGCTAATCTTTTCTTTCATTGATTTTGCTCCTCTATCATATTACCTCTATCATATTTGGCCCTGTTTCACTGCTTAATTCCTCCCCTTCTTTCTTCTGATAAAATTGTTGTTAAAGCTAGGCTCTTCCTTAGGATTTCTTCCTTTCAGTTTCCTTAGAGATTGTATTTTGTGGCATACTACCCTTATTAGCTTTTGTGCAGATTTCCCACAGAAAATTTATTCTAACAGACAATGCCATTTTGAGTATGACAGCCTAATCATTCCAGTCAGAGAGTAGGCAAAAAAAGCTTATTTATTTATCTCTTATTTACCTAATTCAAGTGCCTCTTATTCGAATACTTTCTTTTTTTTTTTTTTGCCCCCTCCCCCCCCAATTTCTCAAATTTGCAAAAATGCTCCAAATCTCCTTATCAAATTACCTTATTTGAATAATTTCTCAACACACAGTGCTGCAGTACTTTTGCCAAATACTGTATTTTATATGAGACATAGGCAAGAAAAGAGAAATGTTATCAGAAATACCATGGTAGTGTTTCTTACTCAGCTGGTATGCATCTTAGTTTCATTTGCTTATCATTTGTTCTATGTGTTTTCCAGAAAACAGACTGGTCTTTAAGAATGTCTTTGCAAAATGTCTAGAGCAGCTATTTATTAATATGGGTCTGTAACAGGACCCTAAAGCACTTCACAAATTTAATTAAAACATAAATTACATTGCTGCAAAGAATCAGTTTCCATTCAAATGGAACTCAATAGTTATCTGACAGTATCCAATTAGCTATAAGAATAGTACATCCAAATGAAACGCTTAGAAAAGCATGGGTAAGCAAAATTGCTCTGCAACTGATATTGTGCTTGGACCCAGTGATTAATCATTTTATTTCATGAAATGTTCTGTGGGACTTTTAATAAAGCACACCTAGTCATGATCTTTTATTTTCAGATGATCAAAAGATAGCAAATACCAGCCAGTAATATTTCTGCAGATCTGGTTCTCATGGAGAGTTACTGTCTAAGCAACAAGACACAAAGGAGCATAATCAGGAAATCCTTACCTCATGTAATGAAATTTTGCATTATGTTGTACACACATAAACAAGTGACACCACAGTGTTAAATAAGTTTTGATCACTTTTTTTTTTTTTCTTTTTTTTTTTTTTTTTTTTTTTTCCTCTTAAACACATAGCAGGAATACTATTCCGCTCCTGTGTTAGGAACAGCTACCTTCAGGGAGACCTTTTGCCCTTTGCATTAGTTTTAAAAAAGGCTAATAAAGTAGCAGTCAGTCAAATATCTTCAAGACTATTTTAGCTTACAATTGAGAACACAAGTGACAGGGAATTCATATTGAAAAATTACAGTTCAGCCATCATAAGCTTGTGTGCGTACAAGCACCTGTGCCTTCTTAGGCAGAAGACAAGGCATAGGTCCAGTTTTCAGTTCTTAAATTCAGCAAAGCCATATGCATTTTTTTTAAATATAAAGTTAAATGAAAGATTCTGCCTCTCTGCTAAGCTAATCTTGCTTTTTGTTTAATTATTCTGAGTCTCTGCTGTAACATGAGTAATGAATTACTAAGGATAGGCATTTATTTAATGTTTTTGAAGTTATTTCATTTCTGAATCAAATTGTTTGCTCCTACTGTCATTTAGTTTTCCATTGCACCAAAAACCAGTATGTGGCTATGCTGTCAATGGTCCATATAGAGATCACCTGTTGGCTTTAAGTACCATGTAATAAACACTTCTCCTTACTGACCACATTTTTCCAGTGGTGAATATCAGTACAATACCATGGACGCTCATGTATTTATTATGTGTGTAAAAACATTTTCTCACAACTGTCATAAAGAACATGTTTTATTATGCATTTTTTCTGTTACAGTGGATGAAAATATTTTGTCTTCAGCAAAAGTTCAGAAAATATATTAAAATATTTACCATGAATTTCCATTTGTTTTCTCTGTTAAGTCTCTGCCATTCCTGTTCTAAGACCAAAGGAAAAAATGCCAATTTGAACATCAGCTGGATTAGCCCTTTTCTTGTGAGTTTGTTATACTGATGCTTGGTATTTTACATTTAACTGGCTTTTTTTGTTTTGGCATATAATTCATACTTTTTCAGCATCAGTCATGAGAGCAACTAAATGAAGTACCTCACATGTGCAATGTGGCAAATGGCCATGAAATGTGCAGAAATCTCACTACTGCTTCCACTCACAGGAAATAATATTTCTGTAGTAAAATGTTGCTACCAATAGAATACTACAATCCTTTGTCAAGTCAAATTATTGAAGTTTTCTGAACTTGAGAACAGTTCATCCATCATAACAGAAATGATGTAAATACACAATCTTGAATTCTGCTTGAAACTCAGCTCACCAAGTGAAGCCTGTCAATCAAGTAATACGCTACCACAGTTAACCCTGTGAAAATATATTAGCTTGTTTTGAGATAGTCTGCAACTAGAAAATATAAATTACTTTTATTTGAGAAAAATCTGTCATTTCTTATAGAATAAATTAAGTTCAAAAAATATATCATAGCTTCTAGGATTCAATTTCCACTGTCTAAAATGGAAAAATTTAGATACTGTATTTCCTGACTATGCAGTTTCCATGGTCAGTTTCTGCAGAACAGGAATTTCAATTGCATAGATTAGGAGCAATTTGGGTTTGGAGTGAAAAACAAGTTTAATACTTCATAGGCTCATTTTTTAGTAAGCGTGTTGAGAAAAGGTTTGCATTCCTTCAGTGAACTGGGAAGGACAGCTGCAGTGTCAGAATGGTTCTCTCCTTAGAAAGGAGAGAAAAGTACTTTAACAAAGATAGTTTAGTAAGCAGGATAAGGAAGTGGTAGGAGAACAACCTGCAATCAAGGCTTATTTAAGTGCTGCAAACTGAATTTGAAAGCTTTTCTACTCAGTGGTATATAACATTTCTTCTTGATTAATATCCCTGTAGTCTTATCATTATCTTTCCTCACCTTTCAGATGTAAAATGTTATTTGCAGGAAGATAGTTCAAAAGAAACAAACAAGCAAACTAAATCAAACCACTTCATTCAGATAGGCTTTCAGTTTTGAAATTACACAGTACTAAACTTTAGTTCCTGTATGTTAAAATTACAGATAACAGTCTTAGGAATCAAAAATCCATCTTAGAAGTATCTACTGTTTAATAATAAATAAGAATGCTTTCCTAATAATAATAAAATCCACCTTAAAAATCCCTTTTATTTAGGAAACCATCATTCTTATGTATTCACAAAAACTATATACTCAATTTAATTTCAATTATACTTAAATATAATTGAAATTCTTTAAACTATATCCACTGTGAAAAAACAACTTCTGAAATACCCCATTTTACAAAAACTATGATGAATTACAGTAAGTTTATACAAAATATATACTGACAGGGGTGTTACTTGAAATAAAAAAGATGTTTATACTTACTGTTACTATGAGCCAAGATTCATTTTCCTCAGATGCTTGCTTGCTATTATAGACTCTGTGAATAGTTTGCTTTTCTAAGCTCATGAAGGATGTGCTAACCGTCTTGCTAAGGCTTAATAGGATAACAAGTTCAATTTTTTTTTTCCTTCGGACTTATCCACTTCTGTACTGTCAACCCCAGTTGGCAATGATATGCAGCATACATCTACCCTTCCAATCACTGAAGCAAAAAAGGACTACTGCTTATTTAACTCTTAACAGCTGAAGCAAATATGAAAAATGGTAACTCAATTCACTCAGGCTTTACACTTGTCAATTATGTCTGAAAAGTCTTAGCCAATAAAATTACCTATACTAAAATTAAAGATAAGAGAGAGAGCAATGTTGTTCACAGTCTTGCTCCACTTCTTTTTCTATTTCTGTCCCTTAAGCTCAGAATCTGATTAGTATATTTAATTCCATGAAGCATCATGACTGGTCTACCTTTAATCAGCCTACTGATATCCAGCCTTTTTTCCTTCACATGGTGTAGAATTCAAGATCATTATTTACCAGTATACACAAAATACGACACATACTGTTCGTGCTATATTACTGATACTGGAAAGATTTTATTTTTCATATGCTTATCCATGTCTAATACTAAAAATGAGATAAAAGAAGTATGCTTACGGGAACTGATACAGATTTAGTAAAAATCTCACAAAGGTATTCATAACATGGGCTTACAGCTTTGTTAGTACTATGGATTTTGTTTAAACAACATTTATTTTTTTGTACACTATATTATTATTTCTATTTCTTATAATAAAAATCACAATGGACAAAATACATTCTCATTAGTTGACTGGCAAACTGGAAGAGAAAATGTTTCGAGAATTTTCTCTAGTTACTACTTACACTTTTTGCTTTGGTACCACAGCAGAAGCAAGACAGAAGAGAGTGAAAGATCATTACCACACAACATGAACAAAGTCCCTCCATTTTTAGTGGTTTCCAGGATGGCATTTTCTTAACATACTGTATTAACTTAGTGGTAAGAAATAACCTCCTTGCACAGCTGCAGTCTTTTGGATAAAGCATACGACTCTAATGTTAGGGAGCTGTTATGCTGATCATATTTCAGTGAGAATCACTACACTTTCTATTTAATTTCCATGCTAAATTTAATTTGGCCCTTTCATAAATTGCTCTGGTTGCTAAATAACTACAGCATTTGGTTCTTCAATTAGGTATTTCATAAATAATCTGAAAATAACCATCCTTCAGAAAATTTCTAGGGATAGGTATTTGCAAACTAAAACTCAAACTTGCAAACAAGTCAAATTAAGGCAATAAAGACCCAGGAAACCTATCATTTCAAATGATAGAAGATCAAAATGATTAAATTAATTTTCTTAAAGAAATGATGTTTGTCCCCTTTACTGTGAGTGGTTCATCTGCTGAAGAAAGAAGGACTGCTAGTTAGCTTTCAAAAATGTATATGCATTAAAAAAGTAATTATCACCAAAAGTTACTAGAAATGATCATTAAAAGATCATTAAAATATTATTCACAAACTCAAATTACTAAAACACTGTTGTCTTTTACAACCTGTGCTTTTTCTGCCATTTTCATGCTGTAAAATTACAATTCTTCTACTTATTAGTATTGTAACTACAGATACATATTTCTTATAAAATTCTCAATTAAAAAATCTGAATCAATATAAATATTGGTTATGGTCATCTTCTTCTGAGTTTCACAATTACAAACCTACCTTTATAGCAATCCACCTATATATATAATCCACCTATATAAATTTCCTACATGAAAAAAAATACCAGAATGTAACTTTTATATGCATTTTTAGTTACCTTAATGTGATAAATGATTTACCTTCCTAAAATCTATATATTGTGTGATCCTTCCTCTTCTGTCTGCTCCTCATTCCTTCCTTGTTCATCTTTCTTACCATGCAATCATTGCAGTCCTATGCAAATATTTCTTCCACTATTCACATGCTTTCCATTGTTCTCTTCTACTTGTATGAAGCAGCTGCAACTAGCCTTCCTTCTGTCCTATGTTTTATTTTACTTTTTTAATAAAATTATTTCTACCAGGACCATATATTGGCAATAGTGGTAGTCCATGAGAGCTTATTGTACTTCTCTGTAAAAGAAAATATTTAATGAAACAGTGTATTGCTTCCTTCTCATTTCCAGGTAGCTCAACTGATAAAAGTTATTTTCTTAATTTGCAGTTGTGGGTGAAACAAGGGAGAGAGTAAAGCAATATAATGATTTGTTAGCTGTTCCAAGACTGTCAGAAGTGCTTCTTGCTTTAACCTTGATGCCATAAAAACAAACAAAAAATGCTGCCGTAGTATGAACACTGAATAGAAAGACGTAACACTTACTGAGTGCAGAGTCTGCACAGAATTTTGAAACAAATCTTGCATAGTTTATTGATTAAAAAAAATTCAAGTTGTTCTGAATAAACAAATTACCATTTCATAATAAATTAATTTTTATGACTATCATTGTATTTCCTCCTGTTCATTTGCATTTTTTATAACACTGCAGTGTCTGCATAATCACAGACTATTGAATTGTAATGTAATTAAATTAATAACAACAGTATACTTTTATAAACTTCCATTTTAAAAAGATATATTCTTTAAATAACACAATAAATTAAGGCACAAATCTGAATTATAGCATTAAATATCCATAAGTAATTATTTTAATTAACATATTGCCTTCTCAGTCTTACAGCTGGGGTTGGTATATTTCTTAGAACTGTAAATTCTTAATAGCAGTAATAATCTAAAAGTCTCAATTTGTATAAAACAACTTTGTGTACATTTTCAGATATTATGCCTTTTAAATAATCTTTTCTCCTCCATTACAAATTATCAGAGAATGAAATAACTCATTGGCTAGGGTCAATAAATATATTATTATCTTGGTTTGGTTTTCCAATACATTATTCATAAATATTGTGTTATACCTTTAAATTCAGGATGACGTAACTGTGTAACTGGGTGAAATCAAACTGGAAGAGTACATACTCTGTTTACAGTGTTGCTCATGTAGATAAAAAAGTACTACATATTTACCACTGAATGATGCTATTAGCTTAAAACTAGCTGTTGCTGATAGGACTCTCAGCAACGAACAGTGACTGGTGTTTTTTGTGCTGCATAGAATTTTTTAAAATGGAGACAGGGAAAAATGAGAAGGAAACTAGTATGACAGAACAGGAGGATGTAAATATAGAGTGCAGGCAACAGGCAAGGTTAGGCCTTTTTGTAATGTGACTCCTTCTAGTGGTGGACAGGAAAATCCAAATCAAACATTAAGAACATGATAGTGGCAGGTATAATAATTTGATCAAACAAAAACAAAGCATCCTCTGCAAAATAAAGTATTAATTTTTCCTAGTTGTTTCTTGATTCCTTGGGATGATCACTGTGCTATTACTCAGTTCTCACTCAGGTCTGAAAAAAATTGTAAAGGTTTGCATATTCACTTCAGGAACCAAAGCAAAGACTCAAAAACGTACATGGTTGCACAAACATTAGATAAACAGTTTTTTCTAGTTTATTCCCAATTTTAGCATCCACTAAAAGAAATAATTCAACTTAAAGAATTTGAATTAAATTATTTGAATTAAAGATTAGCATTCATTCCAATCCAATGTTTTATCAACTGGTGTGCAATAGCTTGACTTGGTGGTACAAAGAATGAACGCTGATTTCCTTTAATGAGAACTTCCACGACCTGCAATAAAAAGAAATTATTTCTGTTAGAAAACAGAATTATAAGCCATATGGAATCTAACACAGGAATTAACAATGATGATCAGTCTAACGTTACTGTCCCCATTAATATATTACTACCAGAGAAATACAGGAAAAATATTTGGAAGAGTTGTTGAATTGTTGCATTTTTGAGCTTAAAACGTGCCCCAAAGGATACTTTCATACAACCGTGGAGATCATAAAAAAAGTGATATTCAACTTTTTTTGTTAAGTCTCTGCAAGGAAGAACCACCAGATGGTGCTCTACACCGTTCCATAAATTCTTTTTGTTTTCTTTTATCATGTAGTGTTGGAGAAAATGTTTTGTTCATTATCTGAGGCAGTAGCAAGCAACATGCGTGTATACTTTCAGTTTAGCACACTTTTGTAGTACATTTATTCCCAATTCTAGACCAATCTGCATATGTCTAGCTGTATGCAGAACTAATACTCATTTAAAATAACATTCTGATTGCTGTCAGAAATACACTGAGATTGTAGGTGACTAATTTTTCCTTCAAGTTGACTTACAGAGTCACAACACTTGTAACTGCTAGGCATTTGTATAGTGTTACAGGAAATTTAGCTTGTAAGTAGCTTGTGACAAAACCTGTGAAGACTGTATTGTATAAACAATCGTTCTATTTTCTACTCATGAGCTCTTTCTGTGAAAATTTATTTTTTTATCTTTTTAATTTGAATTTCATATTAATGCATAGTAACCTGCATTCAATACCAGAGTATTAAAAAACTAACTCGCGGAAAAATATTCAAATTAGAATTCCCAGAATTTTTACCTAAACCTCACCTCCACCCCTAACAAATCTGGTAGCATGCTTGTTTGGAGAAAGTCAGGTGATGAACACTATTTCTGCCAAAATGCAGAGCACAGGCTTGTAAAAAAAAAAGGTCTAAAATAACTATAACTTGGATATCTCCCAAAAGGAAAAGTTGAACAGCTAACTGGTAAATATGTCATAAAATGGACTTGCAAGTGACCCAGTAATTACTGTGCTCCTTATCAGTATCTGCCTTCCACTGTTTATGTGTGATCTACAAATACAATATAATGCAACTGTAGTATGATAAAATGGAGAGTATACTTGTTTATTCAACTTGCTGAAAAAAGAAAGTATCTATTCTATGCCAGAAGTGATACAATCACAGACTAATCAATACGAGAAGGAAATTAAATTGAACTTTACCTGTTCTCTAGTGAACCAGCGGGCATCCTCTATTTCATTCTTGTCAACTCTAATTTCTGTAGACACTGCAACAGCTAAGCAGCCAATCATTAGGGAGGAGGGCATTGGCCATGGCTGACAAGAGACATACTGAACATGGCCAACTTTGACTCCAGCCTCCTCTTCTACTTCTCTTCGAACAGCATCTTCTATTGTTTCGCCTAATCAAAAAGGGCAAAGAACCAACAGCTGATGAAAATACTCCAACCAAGGATTACATCCTGTGCTTTGAACTGACTCAAAAGATTTGAAACTGCACCAGACAATTACCTATAGACATCCAGTTCACAGATCAGGGCACACACCTTAAGCATGGGATGGCGAAGTCTAACAAGGTAAAAATGGCCACCAAAGCAAAATTTAACTTTGTAAGTAAAGTGTCATAATTTCTCCATCATACTGTTTATTTCCTGAATTGATAATTTATCAATTATAGTATGTATGGTATGTATAAGTATGTATATACAGCCTATCATCACTCTGCTTAACGCTTTAAACATTTAGTAGGAAATACATTGTTCCTTAAATGAATATGAAATACAGATTTGTTCATTTAAAAATAGCATTGTATTAATTTTTAGGTTTTCTGTATGATTGTAACAGTAAGCAGCTAACTAAAAATCTAAACTAAAAATGTAGAAAATCTACATTTAAAATGGCAATAATAAGAAAATAGAGACTTAAGTAGACTTGCAGATTTCTGTACTGTATTATTCACTTCACCAGATTCATTCATTGTCTTAATCTAAATACTTTTCCAAACTTAACTTGCAGTGGAAAAGCTTATTTCTACATTCACGTAAGACTTTATTAGGAAAAGGTTCTTTGCTAGAGAGGGTGGTCAGGCAGTAGAGCAGGCTCCCCAAGAGAGTTCAAGAAGTGTTTGGACAGTGCTTTCAGACATGGTCTGATTTTTGGGTGGTCCTGTGTGGAGCCAGGAGCTGGGCTCAATGATCCTTGTGAGTCTCTTCCAACTTGGGATATTCTATGATTCCATGATTCTATAATTTCTGAGTGTACATGTGGACTATTGATGGTCATAGGCCTATATATGTACATATGTCCTGTGTTATAACCTCTAATTACAAATTCATTAGATAGTCCATGCATCAGTATGTGTTTATTTGAAGACAATTGAAAGATCCGTTCAAGTAGTTTGAACCAAATTTTTTATACACATCTCAATATACAATGATGTTTCTATACATCTCACCTTGTCCCGTAAGAAAACTAATCACTAATATAACAATCTTTTCAGTCTTTTGTCTTTTCAACCAATTATGGAATTAACTTCTGAATAAATTTCAAAATACGCGGATGTTTCCTTTGCCTTCTTTACTAAATGATAGCCCAAATATTATTTTAACTAGCAAGTGAACTCCTAAGAGATAGAAGTTCTAGTGCAATTAAGTTCAACTGAACAGAACTGGTAAGATCAGCTACTCTTAAATTTTAGTACATATGCTTGAAATCAGTATCAAAAAGTGGATGATAAGAAAGAAAGCGGTGAAAAAATAAACCTCCTGACTTCTTTTAAATGACTCTTCAATCAGTTCACTCATGCTTTAACCACATTTAATTTGCATACCGTTACTGAACACAGTTCAGTTGTACAATATAGTTATAAATTACATTATTGCTGGTGATTAAGATGTATTCACAATATAAGAATGCTTTACAACTTTTTGTAGCTACCAACAGTTTTAGCTAATTTCAAATATTATTGCTAAATACAGTTAGCAAAATCTCTTTTCTTTCTCATATTACAAAATTTCTACTTATCTTCCATAGAATCAATCAAATAAGCATGCACTTAACTTTAATTTATGCTTTAACTCTTATTTTTCCTATACTGAAATCCTATTTCCCAGATTTCCTATACTGAATTCATATCACCACAGAAAGTTCCTTTATATATTTTTTTTTCACTTAAGTATATGATTTATGAGAATGCTGTGATGAGAATTGATGAGAAAGCTATTTTAAAATTGTTTTTGCTCATTGCTTTTTGCTATTAAAAAAAAAAAAAATCAACCTCTGCAGAGTATGGTAGCTAGCATGTTTATTATAACAACATCTAACATGAAGAACTAATATTTTATTTGACATAAAACAGAAGAAATCTCTATATTATTTTCAGCGCACAATATGTGAGAAAACCCGTCGGATAAGGGAAAATGAAATTACTTACCAGGTTCTACAAATCCAGCAAGACAAGTAAACATTCCAGGAGGAAACCTCTTCTGTCTACCTAAAAGGCAGTGGTTCCCATCTGGATGGATGACTTGCATTATCACAACAGGATCTTTAATGGACATGAAAGGAATATATTACAACTTTTGGGAGACCTAAAAGCAGCAATAAAATTCAGGCTATTCAACACCAATTCGTATACAAATAAGATAACTTTAAGTGCTTGAAATCAAAATAGGCTAGGTGCCCAGAGCAAGTTGTTATTTCACCTTTTTTTTTTTTTTTTTTTTTTCTCCCCATAAGATACTATTTATTTTGTTTTGCAACATGCTTTGTGAGTGTAGCCAAGGTTAGGGCATAAATTACCTGCAACCCAAACATATAATCTGTTATGAGTATAAACAATACATCCAGCAGATAGCAACAATTTCAGCAACAAACACAATTTTCTATCACCTTATCTACATACACAGGTTCCTAGGTTGTACTTTTCACTACACATTGAAGAGCTAGGTATTCCAGTTACAATGTAAATACTGACTAACCTTTTCACTTTTTCTTCTGTTTGCTTTCAACCCCTTATCTGGTGGAGCATTTTTATCTACTTTTCAGTCTTGGTTGTTCTATGTAAATTATTGTTTCTTGCTAAATATTTTTTCCTATTGGTATCATTCATTTTGTCATGACTTTCTGTATACAGTTCATCTACCCTCTTCTTCCCTTTTAATTCTCTACTTTATTACATATACCAATGTTTTGTTTTTATTTTTTGTTACCTCTGCCTTTATATATTTTTCTCTTTTTAATATTAAAAGACTTACTTCAGCAATTGCTATAAGCAGTGATTTCAAAGACTGTTGTCCTGTGCGAAGGTATTTGGCACTTGGCACAATGCAGAATATGCAGTGCTGCTGTCTGTAAACTTTTTTTCAAAGAAAGGCATAAGTAGAAAATGCTGGTTCAGCTGTCCTTCCTATATAATCCCTTTCTTTCTCTAAACTTGTTGTGTGAGAAACTGCAAAGGAATGGCCACTAGTATTTTAGCAAGCTCCATAGCAGCCCATGAGAGAGAAGGACATGGCACAATTTTTTGATTATTACAAAGGTATGTCTAGAGTATGTAACAGAAACTAATTCAGAAATACAATACACATGCAATGGAAGTTCTGGAAAGAACTATAACTGCAAAAGAGAAGACAAAGTAGGGGAAGGAAAGGTGATTACCAAACGTGGTCACTAAACAATCCAAGAAAAAAAGGTAATTTTTCTTTCCCTGTTGTTTTTCCATCGCTACCACGGCAATTTTAACAACCTCCGTTGCAACACATAATTAAAAGGGGTTATAAAATATATCAAAGCTTATATTCTGGGTAGAAATAGGCCTGGCAGTTTGCAGTTGACAATGAAAAGTCAAAGCCAGTGAAGATGGCTAATGCAGTTGAAGAGGCACTACAGAAAAACGAGCACCATACCAAAAATTTGTTACAGAGCCATATTATTTCAAGCTAATAGGACTTTTGGTAGCTGAGAAAACATGCAGAAAGAATAGAAAGAGTAAAATGTGACCCTCTGGACTGTTTATACTGTTGGAACATCTGATATAGCTGCATTGTGATAAAGATTGATATTGTCACTGCAATTTCTGCCACAGAGTATAGTACAAGAAAGAGAAACCTGAATTTCTTAATCCTAAATATAGCTGAGACACACATAATCTTGACAGAGGTGAACATGTAAGTACTGGGACAGAAGCTGAAATAATTAAAAAGAAACAGAGTTAAATAAATAATTAATGAATAATTAAATAAATAATTTAAAAGAAACGTGCATATAATCCCTTTTGACCAAGTTTATCTTACAATATCCTCACCTACTCTTGGGTATGATGTGTTGTGAACACCTTGGAGACTGGGACAACCTTCTTTTAGACAAGTTTTTTTGTAACCCCCTTCTTCAATCTTGGTTGCACTCCCACACGTTGGGCAGAATCGGTAGCGGCTGTGCCATGCTAGAACTGATCTAGCCTGGGCTACTACACCTTTTAAAGAATACATTGAAAATAATTAATATTCCACACTAATTAATTTAAGCCTTTAACATTACACAAAAAAAGCAAGTATTAAAGTTCAATGTAAAAATCAAAGTTGACTATGGCTTAACAACATAAGTCAAATGATGCAAGTCATTTAAATCTTTCTTTGCAGCACAACATATGTAATACAACGCAGTATTATGTAGATACAAACTAATTTATTTGCTTGGAATATTAATCCAGACCAATACAACCTCTTTCTTACTAAAATTATTTTTCCTGGGTGAAGTGCCAGAATTTTGTATCACACTTTTTTTTTCCAGATGGAAAAGGTACTTCCTACAGATATCTTGACATAATAATGCATTGTCCCAGATAAACTTGAGGTACAAGTGGAGCTTGTCCTTTATCCTTCTGTAAAGGATAAATTTTACAAAAATATTACAACTGCAGTTGTTGTAACATGTCCATTACATTGGACACCGGGATCCTGACTTTGCAACACTTGCTCTAACTTTTTCTTCTCAGGAAAAGTATCCCACAAGCTTCTACTAAGGAGATAGCTTAATTTCTTGTAATTAAGTCATTAATGACAGATTTTTTTTTTCATTTTAAAATAATGCACATGCATCAATATTAAAATACTATCTATTATTTGTAAAACCATGATGATAATAAATTTTACAGTTTACAGGTCACAGTTGAAGATGATAGCACTTTGCAACTGCACATTTTTACATATAGAATTATTCACAAAGCCACTGCCAGACTGTTAATTTTTTTTTCCTAAAGGCACTGAAAATACCTGACTTTCAGTGAATACCTGAATACCTTTGCTGTGGTTAGTCTTTGCAGCAAACCTCAGTGTATCCTAAAGCATATTCTTCTGATCACACATTTGATTAGTGTTGCATTTTATGCATCTTACCTGCTTCCTTTTCAGTTAGCTGCAGTAGTGCTGGCATTGGTGGGTGAAGGAAGTAACAGTCCTCATGCTTCTCTTTGAATTTCTCAGCAGAAGTGGGATCTATGCTAAGAGCAAACCAAGCAACTAACCCATCGTCTTCTTCTTCTTCCAGAACCTTTTCATTGCGAGCAGCCATAAAATTCTTGTTGAACTGAAGTTCAACTCCAAGAAAAATCAAGGTGACTTCTTCTGTTTGACTCATATACCGTTCCACATCCTTGTGATACAGCCTACAAAGCTTGACTTCTGGTGGCTGGGACCTCTCTGTTCCCATACCTAAAGTAACCAAAGGACTTAGATTTGAGAAGAGTATGTATACTGTAGCTGGATGGCTTTGTTTTCTGCTTAGCCAGTTGGAATCTGTTCTTTTATCGCTTCTTCTGTCCAGAAGTGTCATGCTAAAATAATTTTCACGCTCTTTCACTTCAGTTGACAGAAAATTAGGCTTCTGCCCGCCCTTCACATTAGCCAGCAAATTAGCAATGTGCTTGTACCCCCAAAATTTAGCAATATCCAGAGCTGTCTGCCTTGACTTATTAACGATGGACCTGTCACACCTACAGAAACAGAAAAGAACAGTGGCTATCAGCATAAGGCTGTGCAAGAAGAGTGTAAATACTGTATTATTATTCACAACATATACATCTAATAATATATAGGTGCAGGAACTTTCCAAAACTCAGCAACTAAGTCATTCTTTAGGCTAAATACTTACGGTATTGAAAAAAGATCTTAGTTCATTTTATTTTGCTAAGGTTAAATCCCACATCTATGTTGCACTCCTGGTATTACTTAACAAGGTTCATGCCTTACTACAACAGTGACCAATTAATTTAAATCCCAAATACTGCAACATGTCAAAAACAAACTAAAAAACACACAAAAAAACCTTCTCAAGACAGGTGAAACTTTGTAGACCAAGACACAGCTCTCTTCTGACTAACCAGTAAGACAAAATTCAGTAGCTTAATTAGCATTACTTTCTAGCAGCTACCAAGCTATCAAAGCAGTTATAAGAATAGATTTACCATTGAATAAGAACCAAGAATATGGCTTGTGTTTAGTGGTAGAAGAAGCACTCTGAACTGTGGGGAATGAGCTGGTCTATAAGCATCACTTTGTTCTTATAACAAAGCAAAATGATACAGGTAGGAAAACAGTCACTTGTGGCAAATATTCAACTATATTGAAAAAAAATCTCAGATAGGTAAGGGTGGATAGGGAAGTCAAAATGAGCACACTATTTTTTTGTTTGTCAATTTTAACTCAAGTGGCTAAGTAAAACAAAAATAGCACTGTAAACTATAAAGTGCACAGTAGATGCTGGGTCATACTAATCAGTTTTTAAAACCATAGGATGCCAAAATATTACTAGTGCTGATACACAGGTAACTAACTGTATCATTAGCAAGACTGTTTTTACTTAAGGTTTTATATTTAACTGAATGGTTTCTGAGAGAGTTTGAGTACATTTTAGAAATGCATTCAGAGCTTAGCTTAAAAGCTTTTGGTGCTAAGGGAACTAAAGTTGCCCACTTATCTTCACAAATTAATTATCTTTAGTTTAGAATCTTACCTTATTTCCTACTTAATTACCTATTGCTCAGACACAGTCTTGTTCTGATCTTGTCTTCTACTTACTGTCTGCTCAGGTACACACAGACTATGATGAAGCTTCTATTTCATGTGCTCTGCACTGGCACAAACTCTTCAGATCACTAAGATCTTTCTTTCAGTCCATAAACATTTCCTGTAGCTTTTCTCAAGCATGGATGAATAAAAAAATGACTAGTTATCCAGGCTCAGTCTCTGGAATGTTATATTATATTACCTTCATAGTTGTATTTGACGTTCATGTTTATGCATCCAGCAGCTGTATTCATCTAAATGATTATTATGACTAAACCTGACTAAAATGAAATCAAAGAGGTTGAGGTAACACATCAGTAACTATATTGTCTAAGAAAATGGCCATGAAAAAGGCATTTACAAGCAGAAATTCAGTCTTCCTTATAGTAAGCACAACTTCAGATCTTGTTAACCTGTTTACCAAACTGGTAAAATCTCCAAAATCTCAAAGTATTACTCAATGCACAGAGGATTTCAACCCAGAAGATCTGGCACAGTGAAGCTCTTCGGCTTGCTAGGATACACTAATTACGGTGCAAAACAGCAGTTCGTCTGACACTCCATGCTGAGCTCCAGCAGAAAGTACAGCATCTGCGTAGGGCTTAAAAAAAAGTATATCCTGGAGGCTGTGGAATGACATGCTTGAGATTACTCATAACCACAGAATGAGCTAGTCTTGCATGGCTCTGTAATTAGGGTTGCAGAGGAACAGATCAGCCTTGATTAAGACAGATCTCAGCTGAACTCTCACTCTTATTATGAAATGTTTTCCATTTGAAACATGTCGATCCTAACTTTATTCAGGCTTTGGAAAAATCTTCTTTGAGGTTTCAAAAGCTTTGCAGCATTCTGTGCTTTTCTCAGTGTCTTGCTAGACTAGAACTATAGGAGTTGAAGACGGACAACAAATGTATGAAAACAAGCCTTTGACAAGCAAAGAACATGCATGGTGTCATAGTGACTGAATAAAAAAATATGACAGCTGAAAGAGGAAGGAAGACTTATGTAAAAGAAAAGCAGCACGAAATTCAGCAATCACTAACTTTGGTGTAGGTATGTCTGTCATATCCTACATATTGGTCAATATGCCTGCAAATGTTCTGCACTGTAACACAGATGCAAGTGGATTACAATTAAACCTTACAGAAAAAGCCTAAGCAGAACAATCAAATACATCAAACTTATATTCAGAACAGTGTTTGGAATGGGGTACAAATTTTGTTCTGTTCTGCATGTTTCTGTGAGGAGTGACACTGTATTTTTGAAGATCAATAATTTTAGGGATCCTTATATCTTTTCAACAATTTTTAGCAAATAGCACAATCCAGTTATAAAATGACACAAAGCATATAATTCTGAATTTTAAGCCTGAATATTCTTCCACTATCTGTTGAGTAAGTCTACTTGTCTGATGTCATATTTAACAGGACAGAGAGGAATTTAGGTCAGAACTCTTCAATGGGATCTACTAAACAGCTTACCCTTCTTCCAGAAGAATTCGTACAACATCAAAGTGTCCATTTCTTGCGCCATACATCAAGGCTGTCCAGCCGTTATCTGCAGCTGCATTGATAAGTGATGGAGAATGGCTGAGCAATGCTTTCAGTTTGGCAACATCTCCAACAGCAGCAAAATTATGCAGCTGAGAAATCATTTCCTGATGGAGGTTCTTTTCAAAGGCTGTCATTGTCTCAGCTAAGTTAGAAATCAAAAATACATGAAAATATATCAGCCCTTAGTAACACAATTCAAGTAAACGACATCAGCTTAATGCTACATAGGTAACCCAACACTGTCACCAAATTGGTGATCTAACAGTAAAATTCTTAAAATTAGCATGAAATTGTTAATCCTGAACAAATCTTAGCCCCACACATCACCAGACATGGCAAATTTTTACCCTAAAAATCAAGACTCGTTTGAAAAAGGCTTAAGGAGGGGAACATTGTGCTATGAAATTGAAGCCTATTCTAATATGGAAAACATGTTCTGGCTTCTGATCAAACAAGGACACAAATAAGACCTTTGAACAGTACAAAATTCCACCCCAAGAAATGAATCTCGGTTGGATATTCTAGAAAGAATGAAAAATGTGAGACAGCAGTCCCCTTCCAGGGAAAAGGCCTGTGCACCTCACTCCGAGGCGGTTTTTTTTTTTTTTTTTTTTTTTTTTTTTTTTTTTTTTTTGCTGAGTATATCTCTGCTCGGAAGCAGTGACAAATTAATTTAGTAACTTGTGCCGTGACCCCTGAGGTTTCGATCCCTTCAGAGGGCAGTCTCTGCCGCAAACAAGCACCTCCGGCCTTTCAGGGGCGTTCAGCGCCACCACGCTCCGTTGTCCACCCTCCTCCAGAGGCCCGACATTTCACAGCCCCCGCACCACCGCCTACCCAAAAGGGCCAAACGCGGCTTTTCGGCACGAACAACGCCGATGTCCTGCGCCTTAACAAACCCACTCCGCGCCCCGAGCCGCCGGCGGTGCCTGGCGCTGGCCGGGACCCGCCGGCTCCCAGCCCGGGCAGCCCTCGGAGGGGGGCACCGCGGGGCTGCGCTGACCGGGAGAGGGAGGCGGCGAAGGACGGGGAGGTGCTCGTGGGTACACCGTTACCGTGATCGGCCCGGCCGCCGTGGGTAGCTGGGCTCCGGCCGCCCTTCCGCCGCCGTGGGGGCGCGTCCCGCCGCCGCCCCGCCTACACGGAGCACACCCGGAGCGGGCGAGGCTGGGGCTGGGGCTGGGGCTCGGGCTTCAGCCTTCAGGGCGGCTGTGGGAGAGCGGGGGAGGCATCGGGGCAGGGTGAATGCGGGAGGCAGCGTGAGGAACGGCTCGGCTCGGCTCGCGGGCGATGCCTGGTTTTAGTGAGGGAGGCCAGCCAGGCTTTATGTATTTATTCATTCATTTATTTATTTATTTCCCACCACGCTAACAGAAAGCGAAACCAGGTTGTCAACGGAACACGCGAGTGTTTTTGCAAGACGAGTGGAGCGAATGATACGCAGCTAGGGGAGGTAGTTAAAAAGCCAAAAAACAGCAGAAGGCAGGCTAACGTGCACACTTCCATTGACGCTGTGGAAAGCTTGGGGAAGTGTGGCTGCTCCAGTCCCAGAGAAATGCGTGTAGTTAAGCTGTCGTCACCTCCTAGGAGCTACCACAAGCGGCATCAAACACACCGAGTAAGCACCAAGAGCACGGCCTGTGGTTATCTGTTTGCAGCAGAGGACTGGCCCTGTGAGATGCACGCCCTCTCTGCCCCCCGTAGACACGAAGCAGTGAGCATGTGCATGAGGAACTGATAGGAGTATTCTTCCAGATAGGAATAAATGTAAAGTTAAGGGATGTGATTTTAATTTTATTTAATCCTCTGGAAGCTGTCTAGCCGTACCTGATACAAAGAGGGTCATCTATCCATAAATAATTGTTTCCACCTGGTGAAGAGCTGCCACCAGCCCTTCAATAGGTGATTCTCAGTGGCGTTCGTCCTTTCTCTGGTGATTAATGACTGAAGTAGGAAATAGCTTTCTCATTGTAATAGGCATTCAAAGGCACAAATTACTTCTTATCTTCTTAGTAGTGTCTTAAATCTGCCATATATGAAATTATCACCATGCAGCCTTACATCCTGATCTGTGTAATAAAGTCACTGATCTCATAGGTGGGCTGAAGCATTCTTTGTGTTCAGGCAACTGGACCTTGTCTGGTAGCATATTACAGAACTTTGTGTACTGGAATAACTCATGTTACCCTGGTAAAAACTTTGAAACTTGCTTTCCTTGTTTGTACAAGGAAAAAAGTCAAGAACAAGAAAGCATCCTAATGCACAGACAGAAGACGAGGAGGGAGAATAAGCTGAGAGATGGATATTTGGGAATTCAGAAGGAAGCATATCACTTGAAGCTTCTATGAGACAAAGTATAGGCAGTCTCCTAAACATTTATATTCAAGATAATGAGATACATCTAAGCTGGTTATATATAATCCATAGACATGCACACACACAAATCTTACAGTAGCAGTGATCAAGTTACTGTGTCCTGCTACTTGGTGAAACATGGCATAGGCAGAAGGATCAGATAATGTTTGAGGAGGCTTCTATTATCTTTAGTGGTGCTTCTGGCAATACCCATTTCATGTACAATGTGAAGCGTGAGATACAGATGAGCATCTAACTAGACTCAATAAGTATTCAATTATTTTATTGGGATTTTTTACTTGTAATATGTTTATACATTCTAAAGGTTACAAAAAAGAGGTACTGCATTGCCAAAACTTCTATTTTTCTGCCTTAGATTTTGTAAGTGTGTGTACATGGGTGTCAAGTTAGCTTTTTAAGCATGAAATTAACTTCAGTAATAGCGAGATGTGTGAATGACTATTTCCTCTAAATCCTGAACAAAATATATGCAGACTTTGTGCTGTATCTGTATGGCATTTTTTATTTTTTTTTTTTAGTGCTGTTAGGATATTAGTGCTATCAGATTGCTTCTGCCCCCACTTCATCCTTCTCTATTTTTCCTTCAGGAAGTTTTGACCATAACAGTCATGTACATGTCAGATCCTACAGAACTAGCTCTGCCTCCCTAAAGGAAAAATCACTTTGAAGGAACTGTTCTGGGAACTTCCTTCAAAGTTTCTTCCCTCTTTGTTTCACAGACATATCAGGGCTTACATCCATTTTAACATCACTGAAAGATTTCTCAATTGGTAAAATGGGAAGCATGTTCTTATTAAAAATTTAAGACTAAAAACTATTGGACGTGAGTACTTGTTTCTATTTTTCCCAGAATCTTTTTCCTGTTCCAGAAGTGTAGTGCCTGATCAACAATGTGTATTTTATTTATTCATTTATTTATAAGCTTCTTCAGTATGCCATTTTGAAAGAGAAAATTTAAAATAGCACAAAGTTCATATTCTTTAGAAAACATTTATGTAATGAATTCAGAGTGATTTTTATACTGAAAATTGCATAGCTTTCTTCCTTCTTCTCCATGTTTATATCAAAAAACAACAACAACAACAAAGTAGTTGAGGTGTCAAATACAACACTGATACTGCTGCAGTAAAACCTTGCAAAACTGGCTGCAGTTACTCCAGTTGACACACTAAGATTAAATTAAATCCAGCTTTTCCATGTGTATTACATTTGTAGATTCCTCAACTCATGTATTAAACAGAAATAATGAGCTCATAAAGATCTGTGTTTCACTGTTTCATTTGAATTGTTCACTGTGTTTTCAAATACTAAATAAAATGATTGCTCATTAGTTCATTTTTAAAACGTGGATCTCAGACAGAGGGCTTAATGTGCCCATTCATCAGGTTTTTGTTTTGCAAACAGAACTTTAGGTGGAAACACGTATTGCTTTTAATCCTTGTTAGAGCTGTAGGTAGAAAGGTCCTCTTTTCTGAAAGCATGACTGAAATTAAACGGAAATGGTTTGAGACTTTGATGCCCTTAAGCTATAAATCCTAGTGTGAAATAACTTCTGACCCAAACTGTGCCCTACCCAGCTCTCTGCCTACTGATTCTTGTTACTATGTTACTGCATTTCCTAGCAAATAGTGTTTCATTGTAAAATACACATTACACAGTCCTTTTAAATTTGATTTGGTTGTAATTTCCATGTACTTTACTCACCTGAAAATCCACGGTGCGGCTCCTCCCCAAAGCAGCAGTAAACATGTTCTATATGGCCAGCTTCTAACTGGAGACCCTTCAAAAGTGCAGAACCTGCAGGACACTTTTGGCCTGGTTGTTCAGATTTCAATTTTTTTTTATTCTGTCTCCCTTCTCCCTCTAACCTTCACCAGGTGCCTTTTCCAAACTTGTATACTTTGTAAATACTTTTATAAGAGGTTGTGCTATGCTGTTTGTTCCAGTGCTGCTTGTACATAGCAGCTCAAGGGTGGTGGTGTTTTTGAATCATGAGGATTTGCAAGAGCTCGGGAATGTATGGTAATAAACAAATACTTTTTCCTTGCTTGTGGGAAATATTTTTTTCTTGTTGGTTCTCAGTGTGTTTGACATCATGTTAGTAGTCCTCAGCTTGCACGATCATAAGTACCTCAAGTGGAACTTGAGGCATCTTCAAAGGTACGATTATAAAAGTAATGTAATGCCCCTTTGTTTTTGGTATCAGAGATTATAAGAAAAAACATGAATAGGAATTTAAATTGTTACATGCATATTAATGCATGAATTTTTAAAGGCTTAGTTCTGCTAACAAGTTCAATTATAATGCTGGATAAAATGTTATGATTTCTTGTGGTTATGTGGAACTTTATTTAATCACTGAGCTGAATTTTCTAAGAGGAGTTTAATGATACTTTGGAAAAATATGCAATGTTAACTGTCACTTTAAAAACTTGATACCTTTGATGTCTTTAGCATCTAAGTATTAAGAGGGTCAAAGTAGTGCTGGACTTTGGTGTGATTCTTGAATCCTTGAACTTTGGAAAAATGCATATATGTGCGTGTGTGAACATATACGTATATAATATAAATACAGTCTACTATAGCCTTTGACTTGACTGAGTATGTTAGCTCTTTAGTAGTGGGGAACATTGTTATAAAGTGTATTTATAAGGCTTCTGGAGTTTGAGTGAGGTTGTCAGTGTGAGAATGGAAATGGGTGCTGCACCACTAATTTACTTCAATCCTGAAAGAGACTCTAGTGGCTCCGTATTGATAGTGACTAATGATAGTGTCTTCAAAATGTATGCTGATTACTGCAGACAACAAATAGGGAGTCATGTCTAAATGCTCTGATGTCCTATTCATTCTGTGCTGCAGCCTCCAGAAAAAAATTGCATGCTCTGTAAAGAATGTAACAGTGCCACTGGGAGCACTACAATGTGTGGGCAAAACTGAGTTGAAGTGTCTGCAAGAAGTGAGACAGCACTGCTCCTGTTAGCCTAAAAGATGGCAAAATGATAGTACAAATGGGAAAGAAGCAGTCTGAACAGAAGTGTTGATCCTCAGTTGTTTCATAACCTTATCTGCAAAAGCTTAGCAGTATAAAGTTGTTATGAAAACAAGCTATTAACATTACTACAGAAAAAATGCAGAAACTACTGTCAGAAACTACTTTAAGTTTAGGTTCTACCACAGCATGCAATTGTTCAGGGATTCCCCATTCCTGAAGGTTAAAAAAATAAATCTTAAAATGAAGAAGCTTAGAGAGAATACTTTGAAATTCCTCTGCCTGAAGTGGATGGGGGATATGTAAGGAAAATAACATCAATGAGAGAATATGATTTGCAACCCTCCCTAACTGAACATTCTTTGAAGCAGTACCTCTGGGAAGTTAATGTTTCAGACTGTTAAAGTCTGTGTGTCTTCCCCACATTATTAGCTAGAAGACTGCAGAAATAAATGGCAATATGGACTGCTAAAATTGGAATAGGTTTCTTGTGATTCATTAATACTGTCATAACTCAAGTACAAGGAGTAAGTGATTTCCTGCAATGGGTCAGGATAATTGTATCTTCCCATGAGATACAGATGTTTTGATGCCAGGATGCTAACGCAGAGAATTTAGGTGCCTAACACTAACATGTATTCAGGATTATGCATCAAAGGAGAGACCATTCTGATGACTGGGAAT